GTTCTCTACAAGGGATTGGGGTCTCTGCAGGGTTTGGGGTCTCTGCAGGGTTTGGGGTCTCTACAAGGGTTTGGGGTCTCTGTAGGGTTTGGGGTCTCTGTAGGGTTTGGGGTCTCTGTAGGGTTTGGGGTCTCTGCAGGGTTTGGGGTCTCTACAAGGGTTTGGGGTCTCTGCAGGGTTTGGGATCTCTGCAGGGTTTGGGGTCTCTGCAGGGTTTGGGGTCTCTGCAGGGTTTGGGGTCTCTACAAGGGTTTGGGGTCTCTGCAGGGTTTGGGATCTCTGCAGGGTTTGGGGTCTCTGTAGGGTTTGGGGTCTATGCAGGGTCCTGGTCTCTGCAGGTCTCTCACAGTGGTCCTGTCCTTCAGGATCAATCTGGCTCCCACGGTGGGCTACGAGGACGATGCCGGCAGCCGGACCACCCATCACTTCATGTACCCAGAGAGCGCCAAAAACCTGGCCCCCAACGTCAGCTTCGTCCTGGTTCCCTTCAAGACTCTGGACCTGGTCTGGATCACCAGCGCTCTGTCCACGGGACAGATCCGATTGTAAGACACTGAGTTCTGATAGGTTCCACCAGGTTCTGTTCGGGTCCAGCAGGTTTTACTGGGTTCTGTTGCTTCTGTTTTGCAGTACTTACGCTCCGGTGAAGCAGTTCCTCCGTGTGGATAAAGAGAAGGTGAGTCACCAAAAACACACACACACACACACACACACACACACACACACACACACACACACACCTCTGCTGGTCTTCTGTCCTCCTTCAGGTCCAGATCTTCAATCCTGCCTTCTTCAAATACATCCACGACCACTGGACCAGGCATCATGGACGGTACCCGTCCACCGGCATGCTGGTCCTGTTCTTCGCTCTGCACGTCTGTGACGAGGTCCGGTTCTTCTGAAACCAGGTTAGTCCCAGAAAGGTTCTGGTCTGACCGTGCTGTCCCCTGTCCCTCAGGTCAACGTGTTCGGCTTCGGCGCCGACAGCCGAGGAAACTGGCACCACTACTGGGAGCAGAACCGATACTCCGGAGAATTCAGGAAGACCGGCGTCCACGACGCGGACTACGAGGCTCAGATCATCCAGCAGCTGGCCGAGGCGGGAAAAATCACCGTGTTCCCAGGAAAATGAGCCGCCTCCAGAGTAGACCTGAGACCAAACAAACCATCCCAGACCGGACCGGACCGGACCGGACCGGACTCATCCTGGTCTGAAGTCCATCTGTGAGCTCAAAACTCCATTTACACTTCCACCAGGTGCAAGACCACCAGACCACCAAGTCTCCCTTTGATCATCTAAAAGAAGAACCTGAGGGGACATATGAGCAGCTGGAAGACAGAACCTCATCCAGCTGTGGACCCAGTCAGACCCTGATAGACCCAGTCAGACCCTGATAGACCCAGTCAGACCCTGATAGACCCAGTCAGACCCTGATAGACCCAGTCAGTCAGAAATGTTTGAGGACAGCATGGTCCTGACTAAAACCACAAAAGAGAATCTGATCATCTCAATCTGAACATCAGATCCACGTGGGAACATCTCTGATCCATGTGGGAACATCTCAGATCCATGTGGGAACATCTCTGA